AACTCCCTACATTTTTAAACTAATTTGGTCTTCTGTAATTCAGGTCTACTTGGGAAAATAGGCCTACCACATTGGTGTACTTATTTCAAATAGCTGAAACAGGAAAATTAAATGAAAATATACATTATTAAAAATGCATCCAGCAGAAGATTATCAAATTTAAAATGTACTATATTTTTATCACTTAGCTAAGCTAGATAACATTAACTTCCAGAGAAACATGTACATTTAGTAGCCTCAAGTAATACTTGTATTGACTTGCACTTGAAATGGGTTTTTTTCCTAATGAAATTAGAAAACACGAGAGTAAAGGAATAAGCCGCTGTGATTTCCATGATCAAAATGAAGAGTGTGTGTGTGTGTGTGTGTGTGTGGTATTTTATTTTAATCATGGTAAAATGTGGATTTTGGATTACTTCTTTAAAATCCCCCAAAATGGGGATTTTTTTTAAACCAGGGAAACTCAGGATCCCTTGTGATTTAGTAAATTGTTCAGTAGGCTAATTCCCAGATTTTCATCTCATTGCAAATTGATCTGAAACTAATTTTGATCACAAGAGAAAATTAATCTATAAATTTCCTCCAGGTTCCTAATATGAAGGTGAATTTTGTCATCTTATCACTCTCCGTGCAATTCTTATTCACATGTACTGTTGCTTAGGGAATTCTGGCTCTGTTTTTGGCCTATGTAAGGGGAACCATAAAATGGCACAACTTGATGGAATTTGGCAAGCTGTGTGCTGCAGTTGTCAAACACTAGAAAAAGTGGTGACTAGCGAAAATGGAAATTCATTGACAGAGTTCTAGTATTAGGAGAACTATAAATTTATCAGATTAATTCCAAATGTTTATATCCAATACCTCTCCACTGAAGAGATGTAGAATATTTGTGGTATTACCACATGATAATACAGTAGAATTATATGAAGTTAATGGCTAATGTTTCCAACGAATTTCCCAGATAGTAATTCTGTCACAATAGTTCATGGCAGCACTGTTTAGTATAGGGTGCACAACATGAGGCCTGCCAGAGCAATCCCAATAGACTTGCTTTAATTCCTTAATAAGGGTTTTCTTAAATGAAATAGGATTTAAAAAGTAAACAACTTTGTCCTTTGTCCTCATTTCATAGCAATTCATTAATCTATGCCTGGGCCTACATCTGTGGTTCAGTTTTCTGTTTATAAATGTGCTGAATGCTTATATCCAATCAGAGTAGATCCCACTTGTCACAGTCAACCACTGAAAGTATACTTTGCTTGTGGCCATCAATAAAGTTTGAGTTGGACACTCTTGGTTTAGTAAATATGATACCCAAATCAGAACCATTATCACATAAAAGCTCCCAACCATAAATTGTATTAATGGGAACAATAACATTCTATGCTGGCTTCTTGCACTTCATTTTTACATCTACACATAATAAAATAAAGTAACATGATTACATATGACCTGAAACCCAACATGCATCCAGAATAACCCAACTGAACATTAGCTCAGTCAAATGATAATTCACAACAGTAGATGAAAGGTAATGCAAAATAAGGCACAAAAGTGAGAGAGTGGGGAAAGGATATTAAAAGTAACAGTCTCTTTATCCCAGAAAATTCTACTCAATCGATCAATCAATCAATCAATCAAATTCTATGATTTTTTTTTTCCTCCAAGAACCACACTCGCAACCACACTCGCATAACAGCAAAAAATGTTATTGCCATGTGCAGGTGTGCATGCCTCCACTCGCTCAGCAGTATCTTTAGGCTTCAGTTAGAAAGCACAGCAAAGATGGAACTTTCAAAGATTAAGCAGTCCTTGTTTCTCACCAAACTTTTAAATGAATAGAGCCTGCAAAGTGCTTCTGATGCTTTTCAGTGAATTTACTGCCCAAGACGTTTATTACAAGCGTTAGCAGTAATTTACCCATCATTAATCAGAGCAGTCGGTTACAATTCTTCTCAATCATTCTGAATCCTTACTTTACCAGTTGGCTAAAATATTTTATACTGCCATTAGTCTTAAAGCCTCAGCAAAAAGCTTGTAAATTTAGACAGCACCTGAAAACTGAAAACTGTAGCACCCTAGTTTTCACTAATTTATTGTCTCTGTTTATATTTGTGCCAAAGGCTTGGGCTTTCCCACTGATCAAGATTTGAAATATGCAGTCATAAAGTGTTCTCTTGTGTTGGGCCATCAGATTAGTAGGAGCAAATCATGTTCTGCTTATTGTAGTCATTAGTTATAGAGTTATTCATTCCACAAGAATATCTCTCTTCAGATTTACACAGTTAAATATCTCACTTGGGTTATTTGTCACATTACCTGTAGGATAAGAAGAAATTTTCCCTATTTTTTTAATTGAACAACTAGAGATACTGCAGATAGTGTAGCACCTTAAAAATATGAGAAATAAATGGTTCGTTACACCACTGCAGGTATCTTTTTTTCAGTAAAACAATCCCACAGTATTTTACCATGAAAAGCAATTTCTGTTTTTCAGTGCATATCTCTCGCACAATGGAGCAGTTTGTGTATGCTAGGCTACATTTTCAAAATCAACTATAGCTGAGCTGTGATTACAGTCTCCACTAGCAAAAGGAAGTCACTGACTGTAGCACTTAAAAGGCAAAGCACTTTCATATTTATGCTTTCTTATGCCGTCAGAAAAGCCAATCAAGCCATACATTTGTACTAAAGATGCCCAAAGGAGGGAAGGAAAGGACTAACGTGCCTTTGTTAATACACCTCTTAATTCATCTGTAAAATTCATACCAGGACTCCAATCTTTGTGCCAGTTCAGAAAAACTTTGAAACAAAAAACATTTTACAAATTCATTGATTTTCTGGAAATCATTTTGAGCCGGCCATTGTGCTTCATCAGCATGAAGTCCAGTGCTGCATCAGATTACTGAGGCATACCGTTACCCCCAAAGGCTTAAAATTCCTTCAGTTTCATATCAGTCATTTTGCCACAAGCTCTGGAATTCCCATAATATGATCCAGGTCATGGAAAATAAGGGTAGGAATACTTAAAATATTAACTTTAGCTTGTCCAACATAATTTATGCTGATAAAATAGGCATTTCCAGATGTTTGGTTTAATAGAAAAAGAAATAGGCATCCCATCCAGATTTTAACTAGCTAGTTCCATGTATCAGCTAGGCCTTGACAGATGACCTTGAAACAAAACCATTGTTTTAATTAGAAATTGCTGATTTTTTGTTGTTGTTGAATCTAATGTTTTGCAGAATCTGTTTGATATTGGCAGCACTCCACCAGACCCCAGCTTTTGCCTGGGTATTGAGCTGGGTCAGAGTAGCCATGGCTGGCAGGGGACCCCCAGGGGTCAGCCTGCCAGCCTGGGGCTGCTCTGACCAGGCTCAATGTGCTGTGGAGGGGCTGGTTGGGGTATGCAGCTGCTCTAGTGCCAGGCTAGCCAGCAGGCAGCCCCTGTCCTGAAGCATCCTTGTGCTCCAGCCAGCAGGTTAATGTCTACATGTGCACTGATGCAGAGTAAAAAACTCGGCAGCAGGATAGTATTTGTATTTACAAGTACTACCCTTCTGTGGAGCCTAATAGGGTTGCACATGTAGACATGAGACATTTACTGCAGAGCTTATTAGTAGGGGTGTGCAAAGCGGGCTGTATTCAATTTGAATTAGGATTTGGCCCAAATCAGGGACAGTGATTCGATTCATTGATTCAGATAACTGTCCCTGATTCAGTTTGGCTGAATTTGAACCTGAAGATTTGATGCTGATCTGGAGAACCAGCGATTTGGACATAGACACAGCTTTAAAAGTTTTTTTCTACATACCTTAAGGTAGCAGGCGCGGCTCATGATTGCTGTGATGCTGGGGTGCATGGAGCATCCCATAGGAGTGGGGGGGGGGTCCTCCACCTGCTCAGCGATGAACCCGGAAGTGGACCAGATGTAGTTCCGGTCCACTTCTGGGTCTGCTGAGGAGCATACTGGGGGCCCCCCCATGCCTCCCCAGCTCAACAATCAGCCACAGGGGGACCCCGGGTGCCCCCCCAGATCCAAAAGGCACTAGTCACCAAGCCAGGAGGGTGCAGGGGGACCCCCCCCGTGCACTCCCTGGCAGATCTGGAAGTGGACCAGAAGTACTTCCTGTCTACTTCCAGGTTCACTGCTGAGCACGTGGAGGGCCCCCCCCCCCTCCCCACACACTCTGCTGCTGAGCACACTGGGGAGCCCCCTGTGCTTCTGTGGGACACTCCATGCACCCCAGCATCACAGTGTTCACGAGCCCCTACTACCTAGGGGTATGTAGAAACAACATTTAAAGCTGTCTCTATGTTCAAATCTCCAAATCTCTCCAATTGATTTGGAGGGTTCAGATTCGACTCAGAGAGATTAAAAGGTCCTCTGATTCAATTTGGATTTGGAGACTCGGCCACCAAATTGGGCCAAATCTCCACCGAATCAAATCAGGGATCAAAGCTTTGCACAACCCTAGTAATTAGTCTACTACTACACAGTAAATGTCCTGTGTGGATACACCCCTTGTGTCTTAATTTACGAGAAGGGTAGTGATGTTGTCAGGATCTACATATCCGTGTAAAGTTCTATGAGGGAGACGAATGAAAAATAGTAAGGCTTTTTATTACTCCTTAGCACCATATCTCTGAGCTTTCTGAACAGTTTTTAAAATGTATTCTAACTGAATGGCCTGAAAAGATTGGCAATGAGATGTCAGACCTTGTATCCTTTGACCTCTAGCATGAACTCAGCACTGGCAGGTACTTTTGATCTACAGATATTAATATCTGCTATTTTACTGGCCTCAATAAATAGCTATTTAAAAATAGTAGATTAAGGTAAATGAGTTTGAATGTTATAAAATATGATGTTTTGCACCATTTAGAATTCAAATTTGGAAAATATTAAAAGGACAAAGTTAACTTACTGTTAACAACTAGCATTTAAATGTCATCTCCAAAAAGCACTCAATTTTATAATTATATATGCTTGTCCCCAGGTTCAGGAGGAAGAAAACAACAAGTCTGGCTGTAGCTAGTTTAAGAAAAAGCTAAAAAGTGATACTGTGGTGTGAGGTCTACTATAGATTGCAAACCAAGAAGAAGAGGTGAATGATGCATTCTTCAACCAGGTAACAAGAATATCTAAAATTTACAAGATAGTACCAATGAGGATTTTCACTTGCCTAATATCTTCTGGATGAATAATACAGCAACACATATAATGTCTAGTAAATTCTGTACATGTATAGAAGACAGCTTTCTGTTGTTCAGTGCATCATCTATCTTGGATCTTGTTCTGATCAATAGAAGAATTGGTTATAAATGTGAAGGTGATATGAACTTGTGAAGAAGTGAATATGATATGATTGAGTCATCATTCTAAAAAAGGAAAGGTTTGAGAACAGCAAGATAAGGAAACTGGACTTCATAAGGGTCCAGACTTCAATCAATTTGGAGAAATAATAGCTAAGATCCCATGAGACTGAATAATAAAGAGGTCCAGAATGACTAGTAGTTCCTAAACCATGTAACATGGAACACTCAACAAGAAGCTGTTTTGACATGATGGAAAGATAAGATAAACCACAGGAGATCAATGTGGCTACACAAGGAGCTTCTTAAACACTTCAAAACCAAAAGAAATATATAAAGCCAATTAAAAGAAGGGTGAGTCACCAAGGAAGTATACCATGGAAGAGCAAGAATTTGCAGGGACAAGAATAATGGAAGCAAAGTAAAAAACCAAAATACAACTCACAAGGGATGTTAAAGATGAGAAAAAAAAATGTTCCATAAGTATAATAATCCAAAAAAGAAAGACCAAGGAAACCATGGGTGCACTGCATAACAGTGAAGATGAGATGATTTATTAATAGAAGATATGAAGAAGGCAGAGCTGCTCAGTGGCTACTTTGTCTCAGTTTTCACAATAAAAAATCAATTACAACCATATAGATAACCACATTAATACAGATAAAGAAAGAGAAGGGCTGTGGATTATGGTAAGTAAGAACATGGCAGAGGGCTTTTGCCACATATGAACAAATTTAAATTGGAAGGGCCTGATAAAATCCACCCCATGGTGCTGAAGAAATCTCATAACCAATTAAAACAGTAGTGTTCCATCTCTAGCCTGTGAGCCAAGTCCAGCCTGCAGTGCCACAGCATCCAGCCCATGGGACTCCCCACCAGTCAGGAAATGTCCTAATGGGGAAGCAGTAGCAATTTAATACTGCCACACCTTCTCTGCTGCCAAATTCCCAAGCCCCACAGCTGGATCAGAGCTGGGCCATTCCCTACACACAGCCAGGTTGAGGGCAGGCCATGCTTCTTTCTCCCCATGGAGCTGAGCTTCATCTTCTCCCCCTGCAAGGCTAGCTCAGAGCCAGACTATGCCCCCTTCCCTGTCCTGTATGGCCTGAACTGGTATGTGGGTGGATCGGGCTCAGGTCATGCCCTCTCCTCCCCCACAGGGCCAGATTGTGGCTAGGCCATGTCCCTTTCCCCTGCATGGCTGAATCAGGGTCAGGATGCCCCCTGCTCCCCTCCACTTGGCCAGATGGCATCCTGCTATGCCCCTTCTGGATTCTGGATCAGGACCACCAGCTGGATCCAGCCTGTGGACCGACTGGGCACCTCTCATCCAAAAAGGTTAAGCCCCAGTGACTGACAATAATATCTATAATATCATGGATGACAGGCAAGATCTCAGAGGACATAAGAACTTAAGAAATGCCATTCTGGGTCAGACCGTCAGACCAAAGATTTATCTAGCCAAATATACTGTCTCCAGCTATGGCAAGTAGTAGATGTTTTAGAGGGAGACTGTATGAACAAGGCATGTCTAGACTCATCCATCCCTTGTCATAGGTGACATGTAGAGGGGTATGGGGGACATGTGCCCCCCTGAAATTGGCCACTGCCAATGCTGCTGCCAGCATCCCTTGCTGCCGATACTGCTGTGGCTACCTGCAGACAATTCCTACTCAGCCCGCCCTCACCGCCAATGTCATCACAGCTGCCTGTGGGCAGTCCCCACTCAACCCGCCCTCACTACCAAAGTTACTGTGTAGGTGGACCCCGCTCGCCACCGCCACTCCCTCGCCACTGCCTGCGGGTAGTTGCCGTCCCACCCACCACCTACCCCCCCCAGCCTCAGGAGGCACAAATCATTCATGCTTGTCATGCTTTCCCTGGCACCAGCCATCACTGGTTGAGAGATGTCAAGGTGTTGGCAAAAAACTGACATTTGTGACACATGTGGCTATCAGAGAACTGAAGCAGTTGTGATGTGTGGGCCTAGGTAACTCAAAGCAGACAGCTAGCTACAGTATCAGGCTGATTTTTGAATAACAAAAGCCTACATTTACATTTCAAGGTAAAACCTAGATGTGACAGACCTGAGCAGGAGGGGGTGGGGGTCACCAGACTGCTATTTTAAACAAGAAAGCACAAAACACATTTACATTCAGGCAATAACCTGTGGAGACAGTCCAACCTTATTTATCTGTTAACTTTATTAATATTAAAAGAAAGGATCAAATGTACTGAATGTTATCATTTTCCTAATAAGAGATGCTTAGATATAAGAACAAAGTAAATCATGTCAAATCATAAACTAAAGTGAAAAAGTAACAGACCAGTGTAAATAAGACTTGCAGGATATAAATCCCATTTAAGTGACACCTTCCAGTTTTGCAAGAATCTGGTCTGATCTAGTTCTGAAACTTCCAGTGAAACAAAAACATCTAAATAAAGCCAATCAGGGATCTTTGGTTAAAATATTAAGATCATTTTTACCAGCCCCCCATAAATAGGAAATGTAACTGGAAAGAATTGGGAAGGGTAACTCTCTAGATAACAACACCCGTGGGACTGTTTTGCATGTACCAAGATGCTCATCTGATGGAACATTGAAGAAGAATTCCCTCCCCTCCTGCTGTGGAGAAGCAGGCCAAGACCACTCCATGCCAGAGAAAGACTCATCCCATAAGATTATGTTTATCCTCTATAATTAATCTTGTTTTTGTCAATTAATCAATAAACTTCTCACATTGGTTGGAATGAACATTTAAGTTCTTTTTCACCCTTCCCACCTTGCCCAAAATTTGTTAACAAAGGGATGCATCCCTGACTCTCCTCCATGAATTTTTGTGTAATCCCTTTTTGAACCTGTTTATTCTATCTGCCTCTACAAGTTCCCATGGCAATGAGCTCCACAAGCAAAATACATGTTATAAATAAAATGAAAGTACTTTTTTTGTGAGGCCTGGAGATGAGCTAATATAGTTCATGTCTTGTAAAAAAATGGAAAAAGGAGAACTACTGACAGGTCAACTTGATTTCAAAACCCAAAAATGTATTAAAGTAAATAAAACAAAACAAACAATTTGTAAACACCTGGAGATGTTACAAAATTTGTTAAAGGTAAGTTATGCCAAACGAATCTGAATCTCTTCTTAGGATAGTTTTGATGAAGGGACATAATATATCAGGACTTTAATAAGACTTTTGATAATGCCCCTTCCCCCCTTTCTGCCTAGACATGTTCATGAGTAAATCAAAGAAATATTGGCTAGAACTACTGTTAGGTAGATATGTAGGTATGTAATTGGTGAATGACTTTAAGCAAGGAGTAACTATAAATGGTTTAGTGTCATAATGGCAGAAGGGTTCAAGAAGAATTCTACAGGGGTCTGTTCTGGGTGTTAACATGTTTATAATCTGATTGCAGGTATAGAGCTTCCTGATCAAGTCTGCATGCAACACAAAACTAGAAGAAGTTGCAAATACTTTGGAAGATAGGATTAGATTTGAATATGGTCTTGATAGATTTGAGAACTATGCACAAAATGACAATATGAAATTCAGCACAGACAAGTGTAAAGGGCTATACCTAGGGAAGGAAAACCAAATGACAAATACAGAATGGAGAATATGATGAAGTTGTGGGAGATAGGCGAGGTAGCAAAGGACTGGAAAAGAGCCAACATAAGGCCCCTCTATTAAAAAAAAGGCAAAAAGGAGTACCCAGGGAACTACAGACTGGTTAGCCTCACCTCAATATCTGGGAAGTTACTGGAGCATATCTTATGGAAGGCCATTTTTAAGCACCTGGAGGAGGAAAGGCTGATCACAAATAGCCATCACAAATAGCTAGCATGTATTTACAAAAAATAAATTGTGTCAAACAAATTTGATCTCCTCCTTTGGCAAAATAACTACTTGGGTAGGTGAAGGGAATGCTGTGGATATAGTATATCTAGATTAAACTATAAGCAAGGATTTTAATAAGGTCCCAAATGACCTTCTCATAATAAATTGGAGAAATATGTGCTGGACAAAACTATCATAAGGTGGATATATAACTGGCTCACTAGCCATAAGCAAAGGTTAATTATTAATATGTCCATGTCAGAAGGTTTCAAGTGGAGTCCCACAGGGGTCTGTATTGGAACTGGTGGTGTTCAACACATGGGTGACTGCCTCCTGGGTTTAGGGGGGGGGTCCCCCAGCAGCCGATCACTAACTGGAGGTGGGGTCCCTCAATGGTCAATCACCGCCCCTGGAACTGGAAGTGTCGCCAGCAAAACTGGAAGTGCCGCCAGTGCTTCTCTTGGCACCCCCACTCGCCAGCCGATGCCAATCTCAGAGTGAGCACTGGCCAGTGCTTCTCTCAATGCCCCCACTCCCCGGATGGTAGGGGCCAATCTCGGGGGGGGGGGGCGGGTGCCCCTGCACCCCCCACCCATGTATCACCTATGGTTCAACATGTTTATTAATCATTGGATACTGGCATAGAAGGCTTCTTGAGCAAGTTTGCAGACACCATGAGACTGGGAAGCATTGTGAACACATTGGAGGATGTGAGAACAATTCAGAAGGATCTCAATAGATCAGAAAGCTGGGCTATATCTAACAAGATGAAGTTCAATGTAGACAAATGCAAGATGCTACACCTTGGGAAGATTATAAAAAACACAAATATAAAATGAGTGACACCTGGCTGGATGGCAGCACATGGAAAAGGATTTGGGAGTCTTGGTAGATCACAGACTCAGTGAGTCTGCAGTGCACAAGTGGCAAATGCAGTTCTGTGATCCATCGATAGAAGCATTAGGTGCAAGAC